AAAGGCCACCCCCCTGTCACCCCCACCACCCCCCTACCCCACCCCCCGGCTCTGTTTCTCCTTTTTTATGCCACCTATCCCCTTGAAAAGTGGAATAGCATCACACCGGGTCTCAGTGACCCATCCTCTTGTCTGAGGCAAGACATGTGGTCAAGACCCATATTTAAATCCTCACTGGACTTGAGTAAGAGCAGTGCGGAGCAATCTCCCTTAAAACTGTCTCCTTCGGGCTCTTGGGGTCCACTCTTCAAAGGCCTCCGTCTCAACCTTGCTCTTCTGGCACTTCTCCCTCAGTCCTGCTGTGGTTTTACTGGTGTTCTGTTGACCTAGTGACTTCTAGTACATTTCCCTCTGCCCAAATCATGCCCCTCACCCAGCTGTCACAGCCAGCATGAGCACCTACTTCCACCTAGTTCTTAGCTAAGCTTGGAGATAAAAAGAATACAAAAGGAAGTCTTTCTTAATGAGAGGTTCTAGTCTCAGGAAACCAAAGGATAGTATTTTCTTTTCTCTGAAGTTCTAATACTAGCCATTTGCACAGTATTAATTTACTTGACACATCTCTGCTGGACCCTATCCTAATCTGCTTTTTATTACTGTGATAAACACTAAGCTCCCATGGATTACTCAGCCTGTTTTTTTTATGCCATCCGGGACCACCAGCTCAGGGCTGGCACCATCCACTGTAAGCTCCTCCCTCCCACATCATTATCAACCAAGAACATGCCCCACAGTCTTGCCCCCAGGCCATCCTGTTAGGGGTATCTTCTCAACTGAGGTTCCTTCTTCCCAAATGGCTCTGCTTTAAATCAAAGCAGAAATTAAAAAAAAAAAAAAAAAAGCAACAACCTAAGCAGCAGAGGCCCCATCTGCATGGCATGATGAGAAAACTGACCTGTGTCCTCCTGTCACAGGACAGGTGTAGAATGACCAACCATTTCGACAGGTGTCGGAAAGGAAGAGAACGGAGCTGTGGGTGTGCACTCTGAGAGTCTTCCCAGGAAAGTGAAATTTGAGTTAAAAAACATAAAGGGTGAGTTGACGTGACCTGGGGACAAGAAGTAGATTATAGAATTGACACATGCTGACAAAGGAGAAAGTGAATTGTTGAACTCAGGCATATGGTGAGGTTTCTTCACATCACCATAAGATTAGTAACAAGACTTAACAATGACCCACACCTTTAATAAAATGATTCTAGACTACCACTGGAAATGTACACATGCATAAATATGTGTGTTATATGTGTGCACGTCTGTGTGCTTTTGGAAGCCAGAGGTCAACTTCAAGTGTCTTCCTCTATCATTCTCCACCTTTTTTATTGAGGCAGGTTCTCTCATTGAAACTGAAGCTCAGCAATCCAGCTGGACTGGCTAGCCAAAGCCACAGGATGCTCCTGTCTCTACCACCCCAGCACTGGGACTGGAGGCATTTCTCGAACACCCTACTTTTCATATGAGTGCTAAGGACTGAACTCAGGTATTCATACCATGAGCCGCTAAGGCAGACGGAACCTCAACTGAGAATGTGCCTACCTCTGGTTAGCCGTGAGCATCTTCTTGACTGATGATGATTTGGGAGGTCCAGCCCTCTATGGGTGGTGCCAGCCCTGAGCTGGTGGTCCTGGGTAGTATAAGAAAGCAGGCTGAGCAAACCTCAGGAACTTACCATAAGGTAAGCACTTTATGGACTGAGCTGTCTCCATAGCTCTTGTATGATATATCCATCTATTGGAAAATAGAATTGTGTGTCATGTGCTCTGAACTATACACAGCTCTCCTCACTATCACCACAGTGAGCTTTGTCTCCCATGGGTCTCTAGTGAGCAAAAGATGGAGTTAGGGGAGAAAATAAATGTAAGGAATTCAAAGCAAATTGTTCTGTCATGTATTGAGTAAAGGATAATATCAAATATTGTGAAATGAAATTTAGCAGTTTTCTTTACCATTATAGAAATAATCATAAAGTTGACTGGTTGATATTTTGAAATTTTTCAGTAGAAGGCTTACAAACAATGCCACTTCGACACCAATGAAACATCACCTCGTCTTGGAAAAGCATCTGTATGATGTCAACACCCTGCAGGCTCAAGTGTTCTACTCGTACATACGTGTGATGAGCTTCATACATATTCAGCCTCCTAACTTGACAGTCACTTCTAAGAGCAGACAAAAGGCCGTTGGTTCTGCTCCGCGTGGCGGTTTGTGAAGGGGGAATATCACACGCTTCCCTTGATGATTATATAGCTCTATCCATCTGTCTGCCACTGGAGTGGGGGGAGACAAGCTACAGCTCCCACCGACACCATAAACAAAAGTAGATGGTGCTGTCACCAGTCAGACACGCCAGCTAATTGGAGCTGTCGACAGACATAATATTCTGTGTCCACAGCTCTAGAAACAGTTTGAAGCAGCAATGATACGGTGGTTGATGGTGAGCATGGCACAAGTGTCTCTACTCACAAGCTAGAAATGACATAATGAGAAAAGAATCACTCAAATACGCCTCCTAGCCCCTGGTGCTCTGCCGAGAGCTTTCTCTGTATTGCTTCCTAGGCTGACAGTTTAATATGATACTCATAATGTCGAACTTTAAAATTAATCTTGCTTAAAAAGATATGTTTCAATGAGCTACCAAGACTTACTCTTTTGGGAAATTAATAAGAAAAATGCCCCTTATTCGTAGAGCTTCACCAAATAGCTACCAAAAGAAGAGGAGGGTATTTCATGAATTTGGTACTTAAGTACCTATGGATTTATGGTGATATTCAGAAAAGTAGTTCTACAATTAAATGTTTGCACATGCTTGTGGATATGGCTTATTGCTGAATATTCCTTCTTGTTGGACAGAGCAGGCTCAAAATAGAAGGCATTTGACAAGCCTTTGTGACATCAGTGTATGTCATACACTAACAGGAATGCTCCCACCATGGTTACAGCAATAAGACTCAGGAAGGTTCTTGCTGCTTCCTAATAGTCTGCTCAGCTTCTAAATTATCTAATGACTTCATCACCAAGGTTTGGAGTTTTGCTCAGCCACTGCCTTGTTTCAACATGTTGGTGAGCCTCTCTTTGCTTCCAAACTCCATAAGGCAGAGGTAGTACTGGTGTCTCTGTATGTGATTAAGAGGTCATTACATACACAGTGCATAGATCAGTGCTGGCCCGTCACAGTGAGAAGCCACTACATAGTTCTCTTATTGTTGTTATCATTGTTAGGATGATTTATAGTCCATTTCCAATGAAAGTCTTTAATAATTAATCAAAGTAAAAACTGTAAATACCAAAGCTTAAAGGTTTGCAAGGCCAACAAGAGAGGCAGACTTGAGCACTTGAGAAAGTTCCTGACATGCATGCCTATTTCCTGTAAAGATTAAGGACAATAGCAGCCTCAGTAGATATTTTAAGGATGTGAGGTGATACAGTCAAGGCATGCAGTCCATGGGCTGTAGGAAGTGTTAACGCTGTACATTAGAGTGCTTGTCCTTGTGTATCACCAACTTCACTTCTGTCCTCATTAATTCTGGGAAGGAAAACACAACCCTGACTTCATAATGGAAGGATGGGGCCATTGGTGGTAAAAAGAGGCCAGTGGGCATGGAGCAAAGTTGTACACAGCTGGGCAGTAGTGTCACATGCCTTTAATCCCAGCACCCAGCACCTGGGGGCCAAGAGGCAGGTGGATCTCTGAGTTCAGGGCCAGACTGGTCTACAGAGTGAGTTCCAGAACAGCCAGGGCTACACAGAGAAACTCTGTCTTGAAAGAAAGAAAAAAAGAAAGAAAGAAGAAGAAAGAAAGAAAGAAAGAAAGAAAGAAAGAAAGAAAGAAAGAAAGAGAAAGAAAGAAAGAAAGAAAGAAAAAGAAAGAAAGAAAGAAAGAAAGAAAGAAAGAAAGAAAGAAAGAAAGAAAGAAAGAGAAAGAAAGAAAGAAAGAAAGAAAGAAAGAAAGAAAGAAAGAAAAGAAAGAAAGAAAGGAGGGAGGGAGGGAGGGAGGGAGGGAGGGAGGGAGGGAGGGGGGAGGGAGGGAGGGGGGAGGGAGGGGAGGGAGGGAGGGGAAAGAAAACTTGAACATTCCCCCACACGCATCAGAGACTAGACGCTAGGATGACATTCAACTCTCCTGAATGTCCTTTTGCCAGATAACCAAACAACCCAAAGCCTCTGCAATGGTCAACATCTACTGTCAACCTGACTGCTCTAGAATTCCCAGGAGATGTGTCTCTGCGTGTGTCTGTTTAACTAAGGAAGAGAGACTTACTCTGAATGTGGGTGGCCCCATCACATAAGCTGGAGTGCAGGACTCAATAAAAAGAAGTAATCAAGCCAAGCATCAGAATCCATCCCTCTTGGTTTCCTGACTACAGACACAATGTGGCCAGCCATCTCCTGTATCCCATAGCCATCCCTTCTCTTCCATCCTGGACTGTGTCCTCTCAAACCATGAACCAAAACAAGAGCTTTATTCCTTTAGTTGGGTTTTGCTTGGTATTTGGTCACAACAACAAGAAAAGGAATATGTATAGCCTCGTCAGTTTCCACTCAGTTCCACAGTCTCAGCTGTTTCTGTCTCTTCAGACTGAAATCATTCTAGCCACCTTCCACTCATCCATCACTCCTTTTTACACATTCACTGGCCAATTATACAGACAAATAATCCAAGGAAGCTACACTCAGCATGGCAACAACATCAGCGTAAATGTGCCTATGCTGCAAATGTAATCACCTCACTCTCTGAAGACATGGGGCAAACAAAAAGAACAAAAAAGCCTGTGTCTGGAAGGCGGGTGTCTTGGTTACTCTTCTCAAGATGAAAGGAAGACATTAAGGGAGAAAGAGTTCATTCTGGCTCCCAGTTTAGGCTCCAGTCCATCACGGAGGGGAGTCACGGTGTCAGGAGCTTGAGGCAGCTGCTCACATCGCCTCCACAGTTAAGAAGCAGACCGTGATGAACGCTGGTGTGTGGCTTGCTCTCTTACCTTTATGCAGTCCAGAACCCCAATCCCGGGGAATGTTTCTACCCACAGTGGGTGGTGTCCTCGCACCTTGATTAACGTAATCAAGACGATCACAGGTGTGCTCAGAGTCCAGTCCTATGTAGACAAACACTCCTAAGATTCTATCTCACACCAAGTTGACAACTGAGATTAATCATCAGAGCAGGTAAATTAGTTTTGTAGGAAATACTTCAGCACTCCAGGCTCAGTCTGAAAGGCATTTCTGTCCCAGACTCTAGGTGCTGTCAACATACAGGAAATAGTTGGAAAACAACATGACAGCACTTGACTCGGTCACTCTCTCAATCTTGGCTTCCATTGACTTAAGAAGATAACTTTGTCAGCTGTGACCACAAGACCTGCCTTCTGGAATGACCAGGCTCCCTTCTGGCATGGCGAACAGAGCAATGTGGCTTTGATTTGACTTCGTCATCAGCCCCATGGCTATGACCAGTGAATGGCCACCAGATACATCTGCTGCTCGGTTCCATCAGTAGAGCCATGTAGGGTCTCTCTAACCCTCCAACTCTGTTCCTGCCATGGCTTTGACTTGATACCCCATTTGGTCATGCTTTCAAATGCCATCATCAAGTGACATGGATGGAACTTCCAAGACCTTCAATCAGTGACTCCCTCTACCAGGGACTGCTAGGTCCCATGATGCCCGCACAGTGTGCGGGCAGATCTCCGTTTTCCATTGGTTGGTTTTTTAATCAGTTAGTCATAAGCCTTCTTTCCCCACTGTATTGCCAGCCCGTTCTCTCGTCTCCTGTGTTTTTCTTTTCTACTTCATGGTTACTTGAATGAACCAAGGAATTCATGAGTTCCTCTCATCCCTCCTCACTTTACATTCATGAATTGCATGTGCTTGAATACTCAAAACCTGGAGCACACAGCACACCACGAGAAGGAAAATGCTGCAGCAGACACCGTAGTGAAACAATCAATGAGCTGTTTAATGATCTTTTTAAACATACTTGTTTCATTTTTTTTTAACATATGTTCATGGCACATGTTAATAGGGTTCGGTGTAAAATCTCAGCCATACGTGTAGCACGCCCTCATTAAATCCATGTCTTCCACCACCCACCATGGCCCTTTCCAAGCTCTGGGAAATCACCACTCTACATTCAAGGTGATGTTTTTATAGGGTTTCCATAAGGGAGAGAACACGTGGTACATGTGTTTCTATATTTAGTCCATTTCATTAGCAAAACAGTCTCCAATCCCATCTACTTTCATCTTTCAAATATCTTGATGCTGGAGAGATGGTTCAAGGTTAAAAACACTTGTTACTCTTGCAGATGACCAAGATCCAGGTCCCAGCACCCACATGTGGCGTTACAACCACCTATAACTCCAGCTACAGGGGATCTGATACCTTCTTCTGGCCTCCATGGGACCAGGAATGCAGGCAGTGTACATACGTACATGTAGACAAACACTCGTACACATAAAATAAAACTTTGGCCGGGCAGTGGTGGCGCACGCCTTTAATCCCAGCACTCGGGAGGCAGAGCCAGGCGGATCTCTGTGAGTTCGAGGCCAGCCTGGACTACCAAGTGAGTTCCAGGAAAGGCGCAAAGCTACACAGAGAAACCCTGTCTCGAAAAACCAAAAAAAAAAAAAAAAAAAAAAACTTTTACAAGCTACATATTCAGGCCTAAACCAGCCATCTCTTGTAACCAAGCAAGACTTCCAGTGGAGGGTCTGGAGCACCAACCCGGCCACAAAGCCTACAATTTGTCCTGCCTATAAGATGTGCTATGGCCAAGATGGCACAGAGCTTGTAGGAGTGACCAACTGATGATTGGCACAGCTGGAGACCCATATACTGAGAGGGAGATGCCCGCTGAGGTCAGGACCCAGAAGCAGGATACCCCAGAGACCTAGGATAGGACCAAATGTGAATAGGGAAAAAAATTGAATGAAATGATTCTTAATGATATTCTGCTAGACTCATAGATTGGTGCCTAGCCCAGCTCTCATCAGAGAGGCTCTCCCCAGCAACTGATGGAAACAGATGTAGAGACTCACAACCAAACACTAGGCAGAGCTCAAGGAAGCCTTTGTAAGAGGAGGAAGAAGGATTGTAGAACCCTTGGGGTCCAGAGCACCACAAGAAAACCCACAGAATCAAATACACTAGGTCCATAGGGGCTCACAGAGACTGAACTGAGAACCAGGAAGCCTAGGATTTCCTAGGGACTGACCTAGGCCCTCTGCACATATGTTACAGCTGTGTAACTTGGTCTTTGTGTGAGACTCCTAACAGTGAGAGCAGGGATGTCTCTGATTTTGTTGCCTTCTTTTGGGACCCATTCCTTCTACTGCATTGCCTCATCCAGCCTTAATACAAGAGGGATGCCTAGTCTCACTGCAACTTGATATACTATGGCTGGATGATATCCATGGGGGCCCACTTGCGAATGAAGAAAAACAGTAGAGGCGAAGTAGATGGCATGAGGGGGGGTAATAAGAAGAGCGGAGGGAGGAGAAACTTTGGTTGGGATGTAAAAACAAAATAAATAAATTAAATAAATAATAAATAAATAAAGATACATATACAGAATACATAAGAAACTCCAGAAAACCCCCAAATAGTTGAAAGAAAAAAATATGTTTTGAAAAGACACCTCTCTCCAAGAAGAAATAAAAATGATAAAAAAAAAAAGTCATGAAAAAAGTACTCAGTATCCTTAGCCATTGGGGAAATGCAAATCAAAACTATAATGAGATATTATCTATCTGAGTCAGAATGGAAATTATAAAAATAATGAAAGCAATGATTGGCAAGGATATGTAGAAAAAGGATTGTCCACAAATAATGCTAAACTGTAACTGAAATACAGGCTGGAGAGCAGCACGCAGGTTCTACAGGAAACTAACTCAGATTATCCTGTGAGTGAGCTCTCGTACTCCCAGGGAGACAACCAAAGCACACAGAGTCAACATGCCAAAGAGAGATTGACACACTCACCCTTACTAAAACATACACACACATCAGTGGGTGAGTGGGGAAAACACGGCGTATGGACACCATGGGCGTGAGCACCTTTTAGACATCAGCCTAACTTCCCCTGTGCTCTGCACAGCCTGAGGATAGGGTTGGCAGCAGTAAATTTGCTTTGTTTCATATTCTTTGTGTTGGTTTGTTTTTGTTTCTTTTGGGGGTTATAATCTAATTACAACACTTCTCCATTCCCTTTCCTCCATCCAAACCCTCCCTGTTCTTCTAATGTATGGCCTCTTGTTTTAATTGTTATGACATGCATATATGCATTTGTACATACATATGTATTTCTAAATATAATCTATTGAGTCCATATGATATTTCTTGTGTGTATGTTTTCAGGGCTGACCATTTGCACTGTACAACCAACCGGTGTGCTCTTCCCTGAGGAAACACCTCTCTGGTTCTCAGCTTCTCTCAGTTGCCTGGAGTTCTTTCTACATGGTTTGTTTGGCATGGGCATTGGTGTCTTCCTTGTTTAGCTCACGTTTGGGCAATCATGCTGGTGAGAGTTTAGGGGTGTATCTTCTGATGTCACTAGGAGAGACACTCTCACAGCAAAGTCCCTGTTCCTCCGGCTCTTACAGTCTTTCCGTCCCCTCTTCTACAATGCCCCCTGAGCCTCAGGTGTGGGAGTGTTTTATAGATGCATCCACTGGGACTGGGCTCCACAGCTCTGCAGTTTGTTGGTTGTGGTTCTCTATACTGGTCTGTGTTGCAGAAAGTCTTTAATGGGGTAAAGACTACACTTATCTGTGGGTATGAGGACAAATGTTTGTAGACTGTTGTCAGGGAGTATGCTGGCTTAGTAAAGTAACAGTTTTAGGTTCTTCTCCAATAACCTTGACTTGGCCAGCACTGGGTAGTTAGCTGGGTTTCTAGTACCAGGCATGGTTTCTGCCTTGTGGAGAAGGTTTTAAGTCCAGATAGAGAGCTGTTCTTACTGTCTTACCATGTGCCACTGCTTCCCCCGGAGGAGGATTATCTTGCCATGCGGGCCACTGAGGTGGTTCGTTGACATCATAGCCAGGTAGGCCTTCTGGTTGCCTCACTCCTTCAGAAGCTTGCATGGTGCCTTCTGGTACCATGAAAACTAGTTCCCAGGGAGGGAACACTCCTGTCAGTTCTAGCTCAGAGGTCTCTGGACCCTGCTTCTGAAGGGTGTGGTGTCTTCAGCAATGGGACTTACATTCACCTTTGAGGAGTAATCAAGGGTTACCATAGGGTATATGTTTTGGGAGTCTCTTGGACAGTCCTGGCCAACAACTCAAATGCCATTTTTATAATAACCATGGAATTTTAACTTGAAGTCTATCATAAAAGAAACTTTCCTGTATAACTAAGACTCTTTCTCATAAGTAATATCTCCACTAATTACCCACAAACGTAGCTATCTTTGCTTGAGTGTACCTCAGGAAATCTTCACCTAGGTTTTCATGTATCTCCAAGTTGAGAGGCAAGCCAAGAGTAAAGACATTTTAGAGCGTGAGGCAGAGGTGCATTGTACAACTCTATGGTATTACTGTGCAGCAGAACGTAGAGGGAATGGTGCCTCCTGGAGCTGTACAGTGTACAGCCTCAACTATGAAGGTGAAACTCTGGTGTCCAATGAGAGCTTCCCAGTTTGGAGAGGATGCCTTCCCTGTGCTCTCCAGGGAGTGCTGAGCCTTGCCTTCTAGGTCTCTAATAAAGACACTAACCCCAATCCTGAGTGCTCCACCTGATGGACTAGTCACCTCCGGAAAGACTACACCTACCAGTACTGTCCCCTTAGTGTGGTTATGGCCCCTCTTCCTCCTCCTCCCCCTCATTCCCTTCTTTGGAGACAGGGTTTGGAGTAGTCTGTGTAGCTTAGAATTCACTATGTAGTCAAGGATGACCTTGAACTTCTTATTCTCCAGCCTCTCACTCCCAGGGGTGTTAGATTACAGCTGTGTGCCACCCTGTCTGATTTATGCAGCATGGGGGTGGGACCTAGGGTTCTGGACATGCCATGCAAACACTGTGCCAGCTGAGTCAAATCTCCAGCCTAGGATTTAGGGTTTCAACATAGGAGGTTAGGGGGAGACACATTCAATTTACAGCTCACTTGCCTGGTCTGTCCCAGCTGACGCCTGTTGTTCTGGAAGTCACTAATAAGGCAGTCTTTCACTCACAGAAGTACCCCAGACTTGTAGAGTTGCCTCCACCCCCTTCGTCAATCAATACACGGAAGTGGGGCTTCCTTGTATTCTCTTTGGTGTCTAAGACCTTTCATTTGTTTGTTTATTTGTCTCTTTGGGTGTTTGTTTGTTTGTTTTTGAGACAGGGTGGCCTGGATAATTTTGCCTTGAGAAGTCATGAGTTAAGTGAAAATCTTGGCCTCAGGCAAGGGCTACCTTCCTACAATTTAGTGGTCAGAGAGCCCCCAGAGACACCTTAAACAACACAGGCTTTTCTCATTGCTTAGTTGTCCACTCTAACTAGATAAGACTATATTACCGAAGACACCGCTCACTTTGGATGCTGGACAGAGAGAAGGTAATCCGGATAGCTTCCCTAGTACCAGAAGGTATTATGCAGACATCAGTGGAATCACTCAGTTCTGGACCTTGGAGGTTACAATACCAACCTGTCTGGCAAGAGGTGTCCACTGGTGCAGTAATGGCCTGACAGTTATGGGGGTAACCAACCGCTTTCTGACTGGATGAGTCTTGCTCCACAGGAGGGATTTATGCCTGATACTGCAAACTTGAGCAAAAGTCCATGACTGAGGAGAGGATAAGTCCTAGGAGGCATCAATTCACCTTCTAAATATTTATGTTTATGTTCATAGATTGGTGTTGCTGTCAACTTTGGTCAAGGAAGCTTCTTTTTGCATAAGGGTTAAGTGCTAAGTATAAGTAACCCCAAGTGCTCAGCTGTGGATGGGTCATCTGTATCAACCTCCCCCCACCCTTACCCAAGCCTCTGGGAACATGGAGGAAGAGTGCAAACTGGTGGATGAGGAGATCTGTGAAAGGCTGACTTCTGGACTCACCATGCACGTTGCGCACATCAGCTCACATCAGCTGTGGTTAACTGAACGAGGTCAAGTCAGTGAGTATTCCATCAACACTGGAGGAAGGAGCTGTCAGCAGCTGAAGGAGGGAAAAGCCATTCTCCTTCGGAGGGAAAAGCCATTCTCCTTCGGAACGCGGCCGTCGGGAGGTTGCCCATGTCCCATCAGATAGCTCAGACATGCGTACATTTGAGCTGGATGAACTGGACTCGGGTGGTTACTAAAGACAAAAAAATAAAAGGACATGAAGTTGAGAGGGAACCTGGGTGGAGGCCACTAAGGAAAGTTGGAGAAAGGTAGTGATGGATAGATGTCATCAAAGTACATTGTGTAAACTGTATAAATTATAACATTTTCAAAAAGACTAAAATAGTATATGTATTTAAAGTAGAAAGGTGTTGAGGGAAAAAACAAGGTATATCTGAGAGCACGGGTGTGGGCTTCTCAAGGAAAAGTCATGTATTGTTTAAAAGGTTTGTAAACATAAGAGTTAAGGTAAAAGGAGATACTTGGGATAAGAATAAGACATCCCTGAATGTGGGTACATATGCCTCAAGGAAGAGCCACAGTGACATGCTTTGGCACTAGCCACATAGACTTTTTTTGGTGGCTCTTGTTGCATCTCAAAAGGTCACTAAGACACTGTTGTTTCCTTTGCTCTCTGTAGTAAGTGGAATTCAGAGTGGCTTTTCTGGGGACTTGAGTGGGAATACAATGGTAAGGTATTCTTAAAGTACGTTCTAGTTGGAGAGATGGATTCCAAACAAGGTCAACAATAAATGTTTAAGGTGCTGACAACCAGTGCTAAAGAGAAAAGGTAAACAGAGAGAAGTAGACAAGAAGAAGTGAGGGAATTTGAGTTGGGGCTCCCAGGACCTAGAAAGAGTGACTTAGGGGTCCAGAGAAGAGCACTTTCAAAGCTGGGCCACATCAAGAGCCAAGGTTCTGGGACAGGTCTTTGACCAGCTCAGACAGTCAGAGAATTGCCAAGGGTGGTGGTGGTACAGCAGAGGAAGACGTAGTCAGGACGATGGGGCCAGCAGACCAGGGAAATGGCTTGTAAAGTGCTTGCCGCATGAGGACATGAGTTCAATCCCCAGCATCCGTGTAAAGGCTGGGTGTGGTGCTACATGCCTATAACCACAGTGCTGGGAAGGCAGAGACAGGAGGACCGCTAGGAGCTTCTGGCCAGCCAGCCTAGCTAGTCAGTGAGCTTGGCCATCAGTGAGAGACCCTTTCTCACAAGTAAAACGTGACGAGTCTTTGCAGTAGAGATCAGAGAGCTGATGGAAATGTTCACAGTATGGTAGTGAGAGAAGACGGAATTTGGGAGCTTTTAGTGCTCAGGCTGAGAGTGTGCTGACAGAGCCAGTGTGGGGTGAGAGAAAAAGAGGAGGCATGAGGGTAAGATGATCACTGTTGAGAGGAAGCCTGGAGGAGGAGGAAGAGTAGAGGGGAGGAACAGGAGAAGACTGGCAAGAAAAGCCCATGAACATCAGGCAGCTGAGCATGTGATCATGGGAAACTTCAGGGAGTGGCCATCATCAGGCCATCACAAAATGGAGCTCAGATGTAAAGAGAGAAGCCAATCTGACAGGGAAGAGAGAAGGGGCTTGCAAAGCATAAAGGTCCTGCCATGGGTATTTGAGGACAGTCTTCAGTAGTGTGAGCCAGGCTGGGCTGCAAGGTGAGTCCTGCCTCTCACTTACCACAAGCCTCCCTGGGGCTCAGCACACCACCAGGGAACCATAAACACTCTGAGCTGGCTACAATGCCTGTCGTGCGGACACACAGTTTAACTTCTTGCCACCTGAAACCCCTCTGTTTCAAGTCTTGGAATTCAAAACAATTGCTGGCAAAATCAGTCAAGTGCAATGACATTTGCATAAACCCCAGAGCCCAGAGCATTAACGTGTAAAACAGTTAGATCTAATCAGTCTCTGGGGGCTTAGCAGCTGCTGCAGCCTGACCGTTGGCTATTTGTTATCAGCTCTTCACCTGGGCTGGCTAAGTAACTAATGATCGGGTTTCTAGAAGCTTGCTAATTTTAACTATGTACACGATCACATGCATCCTGAAATAGTGCAGTATAGAAACATTCATAGAAGTGGCACAGTATAGAAATAATATAATGTGAGTAGCATGGTATGGAAATATTCAAGGAACTAACGTAACTGAGAAACAGTATAGTACAGAAAGACTCATGGGAATAGCACAGACTAATAGTATAGAAATAATAAAATATTGAATAATACAATATGGGAATATACATAGTGTAGAAATATTCATAGAAACAGCACTGGGGATATGGCCCACTTACTAAAGTATTTGACACACAAGCATGGGGACCTAAGTTTAGCTCCCCAGTATCCATGTTTAAGGGAAAAAGCTAGGCATTGTGCAGCATGCTTAATTGCCAACACTAGTGGAAGAGACCGAGAACTCTGGAGCCCACTGGCCCCCTGGCCTGACAGTCAATGAGCCCCAAGTCTAGTGACTAACTGGCCCCAAGTAAGGTGGAAAGTGACATTGACCTCTGGCCGCCACATATATGAGCACACACAAACATACACACATGCACACCACACACAAATATTATTCGCAGAAATACAGTATAGAATTTTCATAGAAATAGTATAGTATAGAAATATACATACATACATCTTTATGTGGATATGTCTTAACTGATGGTTGTAAAATATTCCAAACTAGACATAGCAGACTAGGTCATGAGAAGAAGAGATTCAAAGCAAGTATCATCTGGAGAGCAAAGAATGGAGTCTGAATGCAGAAACAGCCAGTCCACAGCTAAGAGACTGGAGCACTCTGTGTACGAAGTGTGTGTAAAGGGTGCGTCTAGACAACACACCGTCTCTGGGAAGACATAAGGGAAAAACAGAGGCAGCAGCCACAGAGAAAACAAAGGTGAGAAGCCTTTTAGTCTGTTTCAGGGTATTTTTTCTGATCAGTTTTTAATTTATTGCCACTTCTCTACATATGATGTTACAAATTGATATACTGGATTTATAATGTAACTCATGACCCATGGAGGGAAAACATAGAAACACCTGAACTTCCTAAATTTTCTATTACATTGAAGAAAAATGCACTTAGAAACCACATGGAGTCTAAATGTTGATAGAGTGATTCAGACACAGTGAAAAGACTGAGACTTCTCTCTGAGGACAGGCGTCTCTCAGCCACAACACTAACCGCGCACTCACACCCATGGGGTGACTCTGCAGCACAGTAATCATTCATGATGCTGAGATCCAAATAAACCCCCTTCTCCCTGGAGCTATGCCCCAGTTCCCAGAAGGCCCCAGGAGGGATCCGCATAAACACTGTGACCGTTATTTGTCATCACTGTGAGCCAGGCAGCAGCAGCTGGCCTGTTTGCATGGTATGCAAATGGCGCTTCATCGGGGAAGAAAGGCCCTCAGCTCTGTTGCTTGCAGAGCAAACATGAACTGCTATGGGAAGGAAGCCAGCAGAGAAACAGACAGAAGGGAGTGGGCAGTGGAGCAGGTCAAGAAACATCTTCCACAGAAGCAACACGCAATGGCAGAAAATGGTGATAAGGCCCGGCCCAGGTTTCTCAGGCTGGACAAATAATACAGGGGTGGGAATCGGGTGGGAGCCTGGTGGGAGCCCGGTGGAGCCCGGTGGGAACGGGGTGAGAGCCGAGTGGGAGCCTATCCATCTCCTTTCTCTCCACTCAACTTCTTCCAGAAGAATCTGTGAAACATTTCAGATGTGCAGTCACCCAGGGCTACAGAAGGTCGAGAGCAAAGGCACTGGGGTGAAAAAAAGAATGATGGGAGAAAAAGAAAAAACAGAAGACGGGAAGGAAAGGAGGGAAGATCTGAAGTGAGTCAGACCTGGAGTGGCCTGGGTTCCACAGCGTGTTCCTCATGTATATCCAGTAAAAATCCTGGTCCTCAGCATCTTGGTTTCCTTGTCTGTAGTGGCCATGGTGGGTTTCGGGGTAGAGTAAATGCGTCCTCCTGGATGCTTTCCAGGACCTGGCGGGAAAAGTCGTTGTGAGAGCTAAGAGTCCAGCTCCTCCGGTTCTCCAAACCCCAACGCAGCAGCCCACAGTAGGAAGACCCACAAAGAAGCGACCTGCCTGTCACGGGCTCTGTGATTCGGCGAGGAATATCTCTGACGATGCAATTCCTCTTTCAACACATAATGAGTAGTGATTAAAATCTCTTTAAAATACCGGAGCTTAGCGAAGCCTGCTGGAAGGCTCTGGGCCTCAGTGCACATGTTGCTCCCATGCCCGCATACAAGTAGTGTGGGAAGCGAAGCGGTGCCCTGGCTGAGGATCTGAGAGCCTGGTGACTCCTCCTGAGTCCCTCTCTCTCCACTCAGGAGCGAATCTCTGAATTACAGCCTTCACTCCGTATCTGTCTCTGATTTTCTTTTTAATAGTCCTGAATAATGTGCTGTTTAGTTAGGCTTGTCAGTTTTTATAATTTAAATTAAAAGAGTCAGGCTGAAGAAACTGTTAAATGGCCCTTTTCTTTAAAAACTGCTTGTGAATCCCCCCTTTTTAACTACATGCGTGTCTGAATTTTTACTGTGTCTTAGTTTGTAAATTTATATTTTTATTTGTTGTTCCCTTTCCTATATTCACCTAATTTTGTTTATGCATTTTCCTTAAGTGGACACTTTTTTCTTAGCCCCACCCCCTTCTCCTATGTTTTTCTCCTTTTTCTCTTCCTCTACTTTTAACAATATTTTGGATTTCCTATTGTTTTTTAAAAATACTCATGTTTTTATATTTTAATTCCCCTTCTTAAAATTGACGAATTTTGGTTTTGAACTTTTTTGTCAGTAAAAAAGTTTCCTTTTTCTAATCTTTTGTTCTTTGTTCCTTCCCACATAACACTTCCCTAATCTTTCTTTCCTTTTCCTTCAAGTTATTAAACGTAGTGTCTGCTTCTGTTTCCCACGTCACCCCACCTCTTTCCCATGTTTCACTCATTTACTATTTCTAATCTTACCCAATTTTGTTTTTTATTTCAAAGCACATTCTACAGTAGTTTTAGCATCTTCAATTTAATAAACACTGACAACGTGTTGGTGGCTATAATTGGTTTTAAGTGTATTTCTTGCACTGTTTGGTGGGTGTTGCTCATATAACAGTGGGTTTCCTCCTGTCTGAGTGGCACCAGGGATTGAGCCTTTAAAGCAGGCTGCTCAATAAGAAGCCCCCACGCCGCCACCACAAGCTGGAAAAGATATCTGTGGTGATATTGTGTTCCTCAAAATATTGTGCACCCTTAATAAACTTATATGGGGTCAGAGAACAGAACAGCCACTAGAAATAGAGACCATAAAACAGTGGCACACACGCCTTTAATCCTATCATTTGGGAGGCAGAGATCCATCCAGATCTCTGTGAGTTTAAAGCCACACTGGAAGCAGCCAGGCATGGTGACTCACGCCTTTAATCCCAAGAAGTGAGCCTTTAATCCCAGGAAGTGAGGTCAGAAAGCAGAAAGGTATATAAGGCATGAAAACCAGGAACTAGGCTGGTTAAGCTTTTAGGCTTTTGAGCAATGGTTTAGCTGAGATTAATTCTGGATGATGACTCAGAGGCTTCCAGTCTGAGGAAACAGGATCAGCTAAGGAATTGGCAAGGTGAGGTGGCTGTGGCTTATTCTGCTTCTCTGATCTCCCAGCTTTAACCCAATACCTGGCTCCAGGTTTTGTCTTGTTAATAAGACTCTTTAAGATTCATGCTACAGATATCTAAACTAAATGTGCAAATCACAACACAAAAATGTGAGAAGCATGAAAAAAATAAACCAATGGCAGGGCTCCTCAACAATTGAATTCAAAGACATTGAAACAGATAAGATGCCAGATGAAGATTTTTAAAGTTTCAGGCAAAAATGATCAGTGAATGAACCTTGCTTGCCAACGCCATCTCCACACTGTCTGAGAAGCTCCTGGGGCCAGCCCAGCCTGAGACAGGCTACAGACTCATGTTAGACTCACAATCAAGGAAAGGTGTCTCCATGTCCAAGTCACATCACAAAAACAGAACTGATATGTAAGACCAAGATGGCATGCACCCCTACACAAGTGGCTAGTCCCAAGGAAATGTTCTCCAATGAGAATAGCCTAGATAGACTCAGGACACAGAACTTAAATGATCACCATAAACATGATCTAACCATTCATGAAGTTTAAAGAGTACATGAATCATATCAATGAAATTGATGAGGATAGAAATAAACTCTAGTGCAGTTCGGGAAAACACAAATACATGACTAAATGAAATGACAAAGATAATCGGGAGGCAGAGGCAGGCAGATCTCTGTGAGTTCGAGGCCAGCCTGGGCTACCAAGTGAGTCCCAGGAAAGGCGCAAAGCTACACAGAGAAACACTGTCTTGAAAAACCAAAAAAAAAAAAAAAAAAAAAAAAAAAGATTTGAAAACTGAATTTAGTAAGGAGATAAAAATACTGAAGAAAGCTCAAGCTGAAACGAAGATGGAATTGAAAAATTCAACCTAACTGGGAAACTCTCCAGAGCAGAGAAAAGCCAAATTGGTAGAATGGATCAGTAAAAAGTAGAATACCAGGACTTGAAGGTAAAGTAAAGGAATTAGACTACTCAAACAAAAGCCATTTAAAAATGTGAAAGGAACACATAGAAACCTCAAGAAACTATGAAATACCAAACCTTTGAACTACAGACATAGACGGAGAAAAATACCAGGTCAATGGCCTGCTGTGGGACGGTCTGTATGTCAAATGTGTTGCTGATTGGTCAATAAATAAATCACTGATTGGCCCGTGGCCAGGCAGGAAGTATAGGCGGGACAAGGAGGAGAATAGAGCTGGGAAGTGGAAGGCTGAGTCAGAGAGACACTGCCAGCCGCCATGATGACAAGCCGCATGTGAAGATGCCGGTGAGCCACGAGCCATGTGGCAAGGTATAGATTAATAGAAATGGATTAATTTAAGCTGTAAGAACAGTTAGCAAGAAGCCTGCCATGGCCATACAGTTTGTAACCAATATAAGTCTCTGTGTTTATTTGGTTGGGTCTGAATGGCTGTGGGACTGGCGGGTGTCAGAGATTTGTCCTGACTGTGGGCCAGGCAGGAAAACTCTAGCTACAATGGCTTAGACCAGATCTTTAACAAGATCATAAAAAAGTCCCCAAATTAAGGAAAGACATATCCATATAGATACAAGAAGCAACAGAACACCAAATAGACAAGACCAGGAAGGGAATTCCTCACAGCGCATTATAGTTAAAGCATTAAACATACAGAACAAATAGAAGATACTCAAAGCAGCAAGAGAAAAACCTGAAGCCACATGTAAAGGAAAACCCTTCCAAATAACAGCTGATTTCTCAATGGAAACTTGAAAAGCCAGAAGAGCCTGAAGCAATGCACTTCAAGTTCTAAAGGACCACAGATGCCACCCCAGACTACTTTACCCAGCAAAACTACCTGCCATGATTGAAGGATAAAGGAAAGCATTCCATGATAAAAACAGGCTAAAAGAATTCATGGTCACCAAATCAGCCCTACAGAGAGTACCAGAAATGATGCTTTGGACTGAAGAAACACAGCCAAGAGACTGAAGGAAGAAAATGAAAGAAGCTATAACTATAGAAACACAAAATAGGACAAGAACACAGGCAGCAGCAAAGTGACAGCAAGCAGCATGCATCTTTCAAACAATAACTTCAAATATCAGTAGTGTCTATTCCCAGTCAAAAGACACTGGTGAGTTTAATGAATTGAGAAACAAAATTCACCTTGGGCTGGACAGATGACTCAGCTATTAAACGCTATGGTCAAACCAAAGATAAACAAAATAGTTTGTTTGTTTGTTTGTTTGTTTTTTTAGTTGTAGCTGAAAGTTTTCCTGTGTCCCACCCGGGCCTCAGCCGCTCAGACCCAAGTAAACACACAGAGGTGCATATTAATTAAAACTGCTTGGCCATTAGCTCAGGCTAACTACTGACTAGCTCTTACACTTAAACTCAGCCCATTTCTGTTAATCTATATGTCGCTTTACCTGTGTGCTATTACATGCTGGTCCTTGGACAGTGGGCCAACTCAGTCTTCCTCTTCCCAGAATTCTCCTTGTCTGCTTATCCCGCCTATACTTCCTGCCTGGCTACTGGCCAATCAGTGTTTTATTAAACCAGTGTACAAAAGCATTATCCCACAGCATTTAGTATGCATGGAAACTCTTCTTAGCTTCAAGAATAGGTGTAACCTAAGAGTGAAGGGAAGGAAAAAGTATCCCAAGCAAATGGGACTATTGAACAAGCAGGCATCACTGCCCTAGTAGTTGACAAAATCGACTTCAAATTAAAATTAGTCAGAAGAGATAAAGGAACTGTGCTGTGGGATGGTCTGTATGTCAAATGTGTTGCTGATTGGTCAATAAATAAATCACTGATTGCTCAGTGGCCAGGCAGGAAGTATAGGCGGGACAAGGAGGAGAAAAAACTGGGAAGTGGAAGGCTGAGAGAGAGAGAGACACTGCCAGCCGCCATGATGAGAAACAGCATGTGAAGATGCCGGTAAGCCACGAGCCACGTGGCAAGGTATAGATTTATAAAAATGGATTAATTTAAGCTGTAAGAACAGTTAGCAAGAAGCCTGCCACGGCCATACAGTTTGTAACCAATATAAGTCTCTGTGTTTACTTGGTTGGGTTTGAGCGGCTGTGGGACTGGCAGGTGAGAGAGATTTGTCCTGACTGTGGGCCAGGCAGGAAAACTCTAGCCACAAATGGCGCCCAACATGGGGCAAGAGTTTCCACCTAAAACCTGAGTAAAAAGATTCTAAAACGGAGCTAAAAACAGCTCCTAGTTGTCTCTTTTAAGCTAGCGGCAGCCTGCGTGTTTGAGCTACTATGGCGGGTTCCTGGTGTGCATGCTCGACCTGCAGTATGGCGGGAATGAGGCCTCTGCAAGTGGCACATTAAGCTGTGTGGTGGATTTAGCCTTTGCTAGTACAAAACAAAACAAAAAAAAGAGGTTTCTAGGCTACGCGCTGCTTTGATAGAAGCATAGACCCACTATTTCTGAGAGTTGATGGCTCCCAGAGCTGGCGGAAAACGTATCACCGCCATGTTGGGAAGCTAAAGTGGGCAGAGCCAGCAACCATAGCGCCAGCGCCGTTTCAGGCTTAGAAGGCTGCAGTTCAAAGCAATAGGCTCAAGCTAATATAAAAAAATAAGCCACGTAAAGATGGCTACCACACAGAGA